TGACGTCCACTGTTAGCGATGACCTGACTGTACATGACTGGAGCAGGTCTACCAGGACTGATGCAGCCTGTGTGTGTTCCAGCTGCTGTTCTCTGATTATCCAGCAGAGGTCAGACTCGTCCTGTGTACCAGTGATCACAGCTCGCCACGGTCCAGGCCTGTATGAGGCAGGGGGATGAGCTGCATTGAACTCTCTGAATAAATAAATAGAGATGCTGAGTCCATCACTGGAGGACACCTACACAACAGATCAATAGCAGATCAATAATCAATCAATGACTGGATCAATACTTATAGAGATCAGCCGGTCGATCGCTTCACATAGCTTTATTTAAAACAGCACTAAGACGACACTGCTGAGGCGAGATAACGTCGTGCCTTCATCAGCCAAACATCTGATCCGTCATGCTGTGAAGCAACACGACGGGTCCGTTTAAAATCAGAAGCACACACGTCTCCCTCCATATGAACATGACGGAGAGGAGAAGATCCATCTGACTGTGTCCTACCAGACAGGTCCAGGTGGATCCAGGTACAGTCGGGACTCCATAAACTAAATGTAAACCATCTCTTATGTCAGATAGCAAAGCTGTCGGGTTATCAAGTCATGACTGTGTAGGATGTAATTCTCCTGATCAGTAAAAAGCTAATCGATACCTGGTCCGTCCTTTACTGAGCTCTAATGTGTACCTGCCCGCCGTTACCACAGCTAGACTCTAGAGGGAGCCAGTGATCCAGATGATTATGACCTGACACCAGACCATGTGAAACAAGCAGGACTTGTGGAGGCCTGTCTGATACCTGTTCCTTTACTTCATGTGGTGTCTCTGCAGCCCAGACCGGGCACACAGCACCGGGGGTTCTGGAGGGTACGTGACCCTTTCTTTCCCAACAACACATTAAAATAAGTAATGAAACGGCCCCATGCCCGGGTGACAGGAAGACAAATCATTTAATGTCATATATGACCAAAAAACGCACAGAATTCTTATATTTGAGGCAGCAGGCAGCGAACTTTAATAATAATAAGTGAAGCGGTGGTCTGATCAGTGGCAGGTACATCTCCAGTCAGCATATGAGGAGCAGACGGCAGCAGCATTTGTCCAGAACCGTCAGCATGAGGCTACGCTCTCTGATCCAAACTGTTACGGTCAACATCTGTGTACGTCTTTGTTTCAGTTCCAACGTGTTTGCAGCTCCAGGACGGTCCTGAAGCTGTCGGACGCTGTGCATGGATTATAAACACGTATGATCTGGTACCTCACACCGCCTCCTGCACTCTCAGCCGGTCACATCGCCGTTAGTCTGGTGACCACTCAGGATAATTATTCAACCAGGATGTCCTCAGACAGATCACAAAGAAGCCTCACTGTGCAGAGCGGGATCAATGCTTCATTTAGACTCATGATGTCCTCATGGACCTTTTCCTCGTACTTCATCTTGTATTCAGCAAATTATGCAGCATTCGAGTGACCCAACTTCTACAGAAAGAACTAGATCCCAATGTGAGCAGTTCAAATGTTCTCCTTTGTGTCTCCTGCTGCAACAACAACGTCCTGAACCGCTGAGTCGGACTGCATCACTACGGCCCGCTGAAACGCTGATGAGTATGTATGACTGAGACAGATGTGCTGTCAGGACACTGCGTCCACACCGACGTGCTTCTCATTAGCCAACATGGCAGCACTCAGCCTTCTCAGCTCCAGCCGGTGCTGACGGTGACTTTCACGAGTTAAAATGACAAATATTAGGTCACATCAGATGCTGCTAATTAACACTGATTCAGCGAGTACGTGGACAGAAGGTCCAGATGCAGCTCGTCTGAGTGTCCGTGTGTCTGAGGCCCGTTCTGACCAGACGTCTGAGGTCAGAGGTCATTTGGGTTTCCTATGAGCAGCCAGCGGACAGCACGGCGCGGCTACGTGATGGTATATCACTAAATGATCACACCGCTGTACACGTCTACGACCTGCTTGTATAGCTGCACCGGCCCGAGTCGGTTCCGCTCTGTGAAGGTTTCAGAACCCAAACAGCTTCCTGTACAGACCCTGATGAGCAGATGGACGGCTGCTGGATATCACGTTTACTTTGAGTCATTGTAATTATGAAATTAAATCAGATCAAACCAGCTGATGGCAGGTTTCCAGATAAATCTCCACCAAGAGGAAGGCGTGGTTCAGACACAACAGCTCTGGACCAAACACCTGAAGCTGTAGGTTAAAACGATGATGAAGAAGAAAACACTCAGAGCTCTGTGACAGATCACAGCTCGACCTTCTTCACCTCCAGCCAGCAACTTCCAGAAACAAGAATGAAAACAGACGAATACTGTCCCGACCACTGTGTATTCTATTCTATTCTATTCTATTCTATTCTATTCTGGCCGTGCTGACCCAGTATAACATGTGAAACGATAACAGACGATGACGCTGATTTTACTACATCCTGCCACGTTTACGACACCCAGACACCATGAACACACCATGAACACACCAGAGGACACCATGAACACACCATGAACACACCAGAGGACACCATGAACACACCATGAACACACCATGAACACACCAGAG